AAAAAAAGTAAATCCTTGAATTTAATGAGATTTGGTAGCTCAAATATCACAAACATGCACCTGAGCAAATAATCAAAAATCAGGCCCAGCATGGTGGCCCACGCCTATAATCCTAGCACTCTGGGAGGCCAAGGCGGGATGACCGCTTGAGGTCAGAAGTTTGAGACCAGCCTTAGCAAGAGCGAGATCCCACTTCTACTAAAAATAGAAAAATTGGCTGGGTGTGGTGGTGTGTGCTTGTAGTCCCAGCTACTTGGGAGGCTGAGGCAGGAGGATCCCTTGAGCCCAGGAGTTTGAGGTTGCTGTGAGCTATTGGTAATGCCACTGAACTCCAGTCTGTGCGACAGAGCAAGACCCTGTCTCAAAATCAATCAATCAATCAATCAATCAGGGGACAATATGTTCTATAAATGTTTCTTAAATAAATGTTCTAAGTAAAATCATGCTAACTGTTAGGCATCAGAATCTTGGCATTACTGGATAAGACTGAGAGAGAGAGCCTTTCCTATGAGACTCTGAAAAGGGACAGCATATAGGATGAAGAGGTGACTGACTTTTACCAAATTAGAATACAGTGGGGAACCAAGAATGAAGAAATCTTCACTTGTTTATTTCTGTTGGCTTTTGGGCCGGCCAATCCGGTCATCCGCTTTTTAGAACAAGCAGCCCAGTCAAACACCAGCGCTGCTGTCTAATGCCTCTCTGGCTCTGACTCTCCCTTTGTATAACTTCTCCCACGGAACATCCTTGGCCTAACAGCAAACCCAGCAACTCAGGCTCTCCCTCAGGAAACCTGGGCAAGTCAGATTCTGTGGGAAGTCATTCTCAGGCTTCCACATGGCTGCCAACGTAATTCTCCCTGCTGTTCCCTGAATAAGAGAAATGTAATGGAGCTCTAATCATTATTGAAAAGGGCCTTAAAACAAGCAATTTGATTTTCATAGGACCAGAGAATACCATGATTTTATCTGGAGAATTTACCTTATCAATCTAAATTTACCCTCATCTAGAATACACTCAGTTGCCTCATTTTAAAGATGTTTCAACTGCCCAAATCTTTTTTCTATTAAAAATAACCTCCCTGATCATTCTTTCATAAAACAGATATTTATTTAGTGCCTCTTATAGCCCAGGTACTACGTGGTCAGGATTCTTCTTCCCAAGAGAGTGGCAACTAGTTGTCACAGAAGTTAGTAGCTATTAATGTAACTTATTAAACACAAGCCACTCAGCCAATCTGGAGAACACATGCCAATCTCTACGTTTCCTTTGTTCCACATGTTTAGGTTCATTCTTCTGCTATTAACTACGTGAGTGCTATGATCAGTATGCCAGGCATTTTCTACCTTCATTTGTACTGAGCACTGATTTTTTTAAAAAACAATAAAACAGTTTAACAAAGAAGCCCAGGAAAAAAATCTTCGGGTCTGTCTATATATGTGCCCAGGTACAGCTGTTCAGAAATTGAACCCAGTCAGCACGAACAGACAGACATCCCAGAAAATGTAAATTACCTGAGAATAGAAGCAAATAAAAAGGTTTCAATGAAAAAATTATGGATTTAGCACTTACATAACATATTGTATCAGTTGTTCCTTAAAAACAATTCAGCTTCCTACTTTTGTAATCTGTAATGGCTCATAACTACTTATGAAATTCAAATTCTTAAGAGCAGAGGAGAAATGAAGGCTATTCCTGCAAATACTCCAAACCGACAAAGAGACTCACTCACTCTGCTATGTTGAGATAGCCACAGGAAGCCGCTGCATGAAGCGGTGTCCAGCCCTCATTGTCTTGCTGGTTTACATTGGCTCTGTTCTCTACCAGAAACTTCACCATGTCCAAATTTTCATCAATACAGGCCTGAAAAGAAAAGTCCATTCATTAATTCAACAAATACTCATTGCATTGACAATACCCAGCAGTTCTAATGATACATTAATTTCTGTTTCTTTCATACGAAGTGTTCACAGCATGTCTTCTAAGGTTTGCAATCTTATGCAAGCCCCTTAATGTCTCCATGCCTCAATGTCTCAGCTGTGAAACAGGTATAATGATACTTGATCTTATTTATAGTACTATTAGGATTAATTGTAAAAATCATTTCTAAAGTGCTATAAATGGGTGGGCTGTTTCATCATTCTATTATAAAAAGAAAGACATGTTAGAAAACACTGATATGCTGATGAATTTTAAAAGAAAACAATCACACAAGATCAGATGCAATTTTCTCAACGGGAAGTTGTAGTTTAAGGTTCTAGGATTGCTAAATAACCCCCACTTTGGTGACAAAGGGTAGAGTGATCATTTCAAAGAGAAGAAATGTATTTTCTGAATGGCTTCAAACAATATGGCAAAGTATGTTTGTAGTTATGAATGGTTAGGGATCCTCATCTGCCCATATCATGGCAGCAATTAGGAGAAAGCAGAGAAGCTTTTTGAATAAAGGCTTTCGGCTTACCACAGCCTAAAAGAAATAGTCACAAACAGCAATGAGATCTGCAAAAACCAAAAGGCTGGCTTGACATAGCTATAGAATAGAAAAGAGGTATTATTGTAGGCTTTCTGCCTACAATGACAAAGGTAATCATCATGAAGGCTTAAATGGTTCCAAAGCAGTTGGGATAATTCAAGACCTAGAAACAAATAAGACCTCTTTCTTAAAACTTGCCTTTTCATGCCCTCCTTCAAAAAAAAAAAAAAGTTAAAACTTTAGCTGAGGAAGAATTACCCAAATTAAACGACTTTCACATTACAACATTATTTGCTTTTTCATTGTGCTGACATTTACACTAATGATGCGAAAGCAATGGTGGGTGACACTGCTGGTGCCTCAGCATGAATCAAGGCAATGCCATCAAAAGATACCAATAGGCACCATATTCTTCCTCACTGCACACTTAAGAATGGCCTTGATGAAGCAGCAAAATTATTAATTTTATTAAATCTCAATCCTTGAGTATAAGTCTTTTTAATATTCTATGTGAAATTCTATGTGAAAGTATACTTAAAGTACTGCTGCATACGCAAGTAGATGGTTGATTTTAGGAAAAAGCACTCTGCATCTGAGTTATGAGATGAAATTAGCTGTTTTCTTGGAACACTATTTTTACTCATAGGAATAACAGACAAATTACAGTTATTCAGACTTGAAAATGAACAAAGTGAGCCTGTCACTTTAAAAAAAAAACAACTATTTGTTGCAATGATAAAATTAGACCATTCAAGTGAAAATTAGAATTTTGGGAAACATAGCCACTACCATGAGCTTGACAGCTTTCCAATACTCACTTTTCTGATGGAATCAGTGGGACTAACAAACAAATGTGGATTGTTGCTATTGT